TGGGTTTTTTTTCAGGCTACCAAAAGGAATTCCAGCCTTTTGCAACAGCAAACTGATAAGGATCATATCTTCACACTTCTGCATTATAGCACCAACTGCAACGTTACTGATGAATGCAGTTAAGAAGAGCCACAGTATCAGAAACAGGATGAAATAAAATTTGTGGACTACATCCCCTCTGCACGGTTATATAATAGCACGTTCTGTTTGTGATGTCAAGCATGCAAACCTCGCCCTCTCCCCCCCACACGCCACAGCCAGCACCAACGTCATAATTACAGCTCCAGTAACTACCCATCAGTTGCATCGCATACACAATAAAGAATTTCAGTGTAGATTATATATTGTAAACAAAAAAAAAATCAATTAAAAGGAAAAAAAAATATATATATGTGCAAAGATTTTAGTAACAACTGTGACCGCAACTTTTGGAACAGAAATTTGGGTCACGTATATGCAGATGTAGAATAAGTTGTGTTTTGTTTGTTATAGACATCTGCAACAGAGTTTGTTCATTCTTTAAGGCGTAACTACAAAATGCCTTAGTGCCACAGTGCTGCTAATTTCACAGCTAAAGTTCAATAAATGGGAAGTCACTTAAACATCAAGAAATGAGAGATTTACAACCTACATGATCTTTCTTTCTTGATGTTTAAGTGACTTCCCATCTATTCAGTTAAACAAGTTATTTTGTTACCAATTTTATGCTCCAGTAGCAGCTTAAGATTCCTCCCATCTTACAATTAAAATGCAGAGGAGGAAAAGTGTCATAATACCCTAATGCTATACAACCCCCAGTTTAAACTAACTGCTTTTCTTCAGCTGTTTAAGATTAAAATACACATACATGACTCTTGTTTTTCCTTTTCTTAATAGATGTGAAATTGAATTAAAACCTGATGATGGACCAGAAGAGAAAGTGAGGAGATAAAAGCATTCAGAAATGCAGACTGAAGTTTCACTTCTCAAAATCCAATACCTTTACTCTCTAGTTCAAGTTCACAATTGTAAGAAATGTTTGTTCTCCAAAGACACATCAAAGTTTCCTAATAACTCTAAGCCAAAGAGAAACCTCGTAGCACCACGCAGTACACTTCACTGACTGAATTCCACCAGATTCACTTAAGAGGTTGAACCAAGCCTAAAGAACAATATAAGCAAAACAGCAGCATTACACAGACCAAGTCAGCAGGGACCTGCAGTTTCTAGACTCCACTCCTAAAGTGGATATATAATCTCATGTAATCCTTTCTGGAAATGTATCCACCTGCATATAATGAAGAACTTCAGTTTTTACACTCCCTGGAAGGCTGCTCTAGAACCTGACTGTCCCATTGAGTGGGGCTTCCTTCTAACTCTCAGCATAAGTTTATTCTTGGACAGGTTACATTCACTGATGCCAGACCTACTTTGTGCTTTAGTTATGATAGGCCTTTTCCCCGCTGTGGGGTTTTGATGGCTTTCTTCTACATCTGCAGACAAGGACACACTTTGCTAAAAGTTGCTGAGAGCAGCTGTTCCAGAGCCGGCCTGGCCCGCAGCAGAGTGGCAGATTTTGGTGCACAGGGGCGTTTCCTGAGGAGAGATCCCCAGGCGGCCAGCAGCTCTCGTAGGAGACCCTGAGGCAGCCTGGATGGAGCCAGAGCAACAGCGGCCACCCCTACACAAGGCAGCCCTAGGGAGTGCTGCGCCTACAGCAGGCAAACAAGGCATGGCATGGCACTTCACATGGGAGGGCGCCTCTTCAAGAGGGGCATTCCACTGGCTGAGTGGGAGACCTGAAGTACACACAACCCAGCAACCAGGCACTGTTCTGTGACAGGTCAAGGGCACCCGTCCTACCATTCCCTCAAGGCAGAATGGTGGGCACTCGTCTGCAAGCAAAGACTGCAGCTCTGGCTGGGGGGGTCTGCACCATCTACCCCAGCAGTGACCGATGCCTCCACCCAGAGTTGCTGAAGGAGAGGCTGCAGTGCAGACCTCAGTCTGCAGGAAGTGCTCAGACAGCAAGGTGTGCCCAGGTGGAGGACCCCCTGCAGCAGGTAGCTGAGCTGCAGGAGGAGTGAGAAGGCTGCGTAACATTAGGGAGACTGAGAAGGAGGTAGACATCTGGTTCCAAGTGCAGTCTGCAGTGGATCCACAGCCCTTGGCCAAACAGCCAAAACTAGCACACACAGATGGGAGGGGGGCTAAAAATGCAGAAAAATGGAAGCTTGCAACAGCAAGGACCAGCAGGAGGAAGAGACTTCCCCCAACGCCTGAGGTGCCTTTGCAGAACCGCTTCACTGCTCTGCAGACCAAAGAGGAAAGACCCGCCACATCAGGAGATGCTGGAGCTGAGTAAGGCAGCCTGGTCTGCTCCCTATGTAACAACCAGCACAACTAAGGAAAGGCAATGATGGGTGATAGTAGTAGATGACTCTTCTGAGAAGTACAGAGGCACCATCTGCCGACCTGACGCACTCTCTAGAGAGGTGTGCTGCCTACTGGGGGCTCGGATCAGGGATGTCACTGAGAGACTACCAAGCCTCGCACAGTCCACTGATTATTATCTGCTGTTCTTGTTTCATGTGGGCACCAGTGATACAGCCAGGAGCAGTCTGCAAGGCAATGCAGTAATCTTGCAATGCTTTTCTCTAGTCCAGTCATTTCCATGACATAACCCTTCAAGTTTGCATTACAAAATATTGCTTTTAACCACCCATGATGTACAGGATATTTTTATATTAATGCAATTAATTTTGTTCCTATTAATTCAGTCTTTGAGATAATCCTATCTTTTCCATACACCATCATGATCATCTTCTATACTACTGGTGCCACCAGATTTTCATCATCAACAAATTTCATCAGCACACTGATTTTCCTTGTGTCAGTGGCATAAATGAAAACATCAGAAAGATAGCTGGTCCCAAAATTAATCTTTAAAGAACTCTACTAAGCACAACTGCTTCCACATTCAGCACTGTATTTTACCATCTTCTCCACCCAAGTCACATGCCCTATCAAACCCTGCCTTCCAAAACCAATCCATTCCTAAGCAACATCAACTACTTACTGAAGTCCAGACACATTGCGCCTCTTCTGCGTTTCCCTCATCTGAACAACACTCTCCTTCCAAAGAAAACTGGCCAATGAATCCATCATAATCTAACTTAGGTAAATATATATCGTGAATTTTATTCCACTATTTCTTCTCTGCTCCTTCTCAATATCCTTCTTGAGGTGGTTATTCATCTGTCAAATTCAAAGTCTCTCTCTACATCCTTTCACTCATCTGTCATGCAGATATTTTATACCTTTAATGTCTTCAACTTGAAGAAATACCAAGCATGGAAATTCTTCACATATGCTCCTTATACTAACCCAATACACTTAGTTTAATCAGCATCTGTCTCCTTGAATTCCAAAGCCTTTATGTACGCTCCTACTTTGTTTATTCCTCCATTTGATTTTAACTGTATCAGCTCATGATCATTAGACCCAATGTCATTTTCCCAAACAGCCTTCTGAAGGTTTCCAGAGCTTTCTGGGAAATTAAGAGACACATCTAGAATAATAAGATTAGCTCCTTCTTGGCCAAGAAACTAGCTGGTAGAGGGACTGCATAAGGTAAGAAAGTGAGCAAGAAATATGAATTTATAGCCCAATGATGCAAGCATTCTCATGAGAGAGAAGAGATCCTTGATTCTGGACTCTTTTTCAAGAGTCACTTGGTGAAATTAATAAAACTATAGTTCTTATGAATCACACTTCTAGGCACCTTTTTTCACCAGCTACTTTATAAGGAATACAGGTAACTTAACTGCACTTCCTCAACTGAACACCTAAAATTTACATTTGGCAACACTCAGAACCTCTGCATTTACCTTTAGATGCACGAAGGGGCTTTGCTCTACTCTTATAATACCTTGCACCTGTAAAATTTGCTTTGTATCAGGAAAAAAACAGACATGGAACACGAGAGGTAATAAACTGTCAATGCGACAGAACAAAGCTCCGAAGTTTCATTGCCAGCCAGCTGACAGACCTGCACATTCATTCAAAGCCACACCACTTGTGAAGTAGGGCGATCCCAACATGATACCATGGAAGTGTGACAGCACTCCACTCTAAAACTAAGGTGAACTTCATAACCAGTTCCAATGATGCACTCATCTTTAGATTACTTCAGAGAGAAACAAATACGTTTTTATGTGCAACTGCTTTCTCAAACAAGGAACGGCTAAGGTAACTTTGTACTGATAAAAACTAACTTAGCAAATTTAAGAGAAGTTTGAAGTGAAGGGAAAGACAAAACCAAAATGAAGCATAATCAAATTTTATTTGGAGGAGGAAAAAGCAAAATCCTATATGCATTTAATTCAGTACCTATGATAGAGCTAGCTGTTTCTATGGAAACAATGACATTCTTGAACTTAAAATCATAGAGCTTAATCACACTTCATCCATTCCTTCACTTCAGTTCAAGTAACACAGGAACGATGGCAATATATTCTTCAATATCCTCCTATGAGTTCCACAGTTATCTTTTAAGAAGAACTACCTAGGAAACATTGTTCTTCAAGATATATTGATATAGATACTACCATAAATAATCAGTAGAATACAGTGGATTTCAGTGGAGTTTGCATACTGTTTCCTTTGCTATTCTGACTAACAGCATTCCCAGGACAAGGCTGGTTTTGCCTTTTTTTTTTTGGGGGGGGGGGGGGGGGGGGAGAAGGGTAAGATGAACACAACACACCAAAGCATCACTGAAAATCAGTTTTAATACAGAAGTAAAAACAGAAGAATAACTTTTTCTTAAAACATACTGATTCTATCAGTGTAAAGATTTTTTGATAATTTGATGAAGTAAGAGTCACAAATGCCCACCCAGGAATAATTTCTTTACCAGCAGTACAAGATAACAGAGGCATTCCATTACCTAAAATAATGCAAGCACTCAAGTATCCGGTCTTCTCAGCTCAAATGGCATTTTGTCCACTGTATCCCAGGTGCATGCTTTAATCATAGGGTACAGAATTAACCTGTCTCCTGCTGGCCCCCAAGCGAATCCACTCAGGGAAGACTCAGAGAAAGACCCACTTTGATTTCTCATTAGCCAAAGACAGGACAGTTTAGGGCAGTTTCACCCGGCACGTGCAAAATAAATTTCTCTTATGACAGAATTGTGTACAGATTATGTAAATTACAACATACAGAAGACATGTTTTGGAATTGAGCTTTAACCACGTGGAATTCAAGCTTGATATTTTCAAAGTTTATCCTTTAAAACCAGTGTTAGAGTAAGTGTATTTTCACTTTGAAATAAAGTGACTAAAACATGAAACCAAGAAACTGATGTACTCAGATTAACATGAAATTTCAGTAGTGATCATTTTAGCAATCAGTATACCACGCTGAACCTGTCATTTCAAAACACAGGAGTGGAAATTATATTAAAACTGCATAAAATGACAAGGCACATGTGAGCAGCTCATGCTTGCGGACTGAACCAGTTAGCTCTGGTGAGCATGGTCACAGTGAGGAGGTTTTATAACTCCGGTATTTTAGAGCTGCTGCTCTCAGGAGAGACTCCCAGTGAAAGTGGAACTGGCCCATCCTGTGTCAACATATCCTGGGGGTCCCTGGCCTGTACACACGGAGTTAATGGTGAAGCAGCAACAAGCACAGGCTTTTGTGTGACTTCTTCAGAACGTACATACAATAACAGCAGAGAAGAGCATTCCAGGTTTTCTTTCTCAAGTGGGAAAGAGCGTAAGTAGGAGAGAGAAGGAGGTATCTGGTTCTATATTTTCAATCTCTATCTCCTTAAAAATACCTTCTAGTGACACACATCCCAACATCTGACTCCAGAATTTAAAAGTGAAATCAGTGCGTACCATCTGTGTTACCATCCTGCCATCTTTTCTCAAGAGCTGCCCCTGGATAAACCCATCACCTTGTTTTCAACCTCTCATATCAGTTGGTATTTAAAGCTTAGACGTTCACTCCACAAATATGAATAATGATAATGCTAGGCACTTCCTTAAATTGGGATTTAATTCTGATAGAACAACATTTGTTCTAATGTATTCTATAGAGAGACTATTTATGTAATATTTTAAAATATTATTTAGGACAGTTCACTATCATCTTTAAAAAGAGAGAGATGCAAGATGATCAAGTTTGTGAACGTTTATTTTGTGAAATGCCTAACATCTCAGATTTGAAAATGAATATTACTGCTGCTGCAAAGGAGAAAATACAGTTCTGAAGAACTGGTTCCATACATAGCTGCTTTTTCCAAGTTCAAGGGGAAGACAGACACCCTCCACACCTTCTTAACCCCTAATCAATTATTTTTTTCCTATCTTTAAATCAAATTGAGCCCCACAAAATTGATTAACCCATGTTCCTAGAAGTTTCAGATAAAGCTGTTCCATGGTTACAAACAATAAAGAAAAACGAGTGTTGGGCTGGGAAGAGTATATTGAATGCTCTGTGCACTATAAGGAAACAGAGGCAGAAAACTGAGTTTCCTGCTGCGTAATGGAAATTTTGAAAACTGCATACAATATACCTAGACTGGGAGGTATTACAATTTTTCACCAGAACAGGCCAGTGAGACCATAGACAAAGCTGAAAGTAATCTTTCAGTTATAGCCTGGATAAAAACAAACATCAGCTTCAATTTGACCAGAAA